TGCAGTTCAAGAACATGTTGTGTGCAGACTCAAAATCTACCAGATGGTGAACTAGCTCCTGGCCCAGAATGCTTTCTGCCATCCTAGAAGAACATTTGGGGACCCCAAAGCGTCCCCACAAATAAGTATGATCCTGAAAGCTGATATTATGATTTACAACATGCTAAATTTTTGCACATTTTTAAATAATTAAATTTAAAAGTAATTTTAAAAAAATTCAACTGGGAGAGGGAACCTGATAGGAATCAAAGGTGATGTCCATAGCATATTGGGGCCCATAGTACCATGTTGCCTATTCTTGAATCAACTGGAATGCAATTCTCATTTGTTTTTCTAGTTCTCTAAAGTTTAAATTTAAAAAATTAATTAAATTTAAAAAAAGAAGTGCAGTTTTAATAATTATTATAATAATTATTTTATTGAAAGAGTAGGACATTAGAGAAATATGTATCTAAAAAGATATATGGAGGAATTTGTTGGGAAAAAAGGTTTGATAAAACAGTGAACAAATGTTTGTGGAGGGACAAAAAGAACTTTGGCTCAAAACATTGAGAACAGAAAGAGAAAGGGAAATAGATAATCCTCTCTCCAGCTTCAAGACAGTGACGACTTTTCTTCTTTACAACGAGACCTATAATAACCTCTATCATGGAAATCCTGTTCCTTATTTTAGTTATTTAGTTGCATGGTCTTTGCATTATCTTTGTTCAGATGTGGTGTTTCTTCTGCTGCTAGCAAAAGAAAAATAATGAAGTGTTTTTGCACATAGGCGTCCATCCAGGAAATGAAAAGGAGACAGCTTCAGCAGGGTGTCACACGGTGACAGGTCAATCTGTCCTGAAGGGCACAGGGTGATGCAGTTGCTCTCAAAGTTGAGTCATGCAAAATGTCATGTAGACACTAAGCTTCCTGACTAATTAAGACACCAACACATACTGACCATGAAAGTGGTAACAATACAGGCTTGATTGCCAAGCTATCAATTCAACAAGACATGCATAGGCAACTAACATTATTGTAGCCTTCCCCAATACGGTGCCCTTCAGAAGTGATGGACTGCAACTCCGATAATTGCAAACCAGCATGACTAATGGAGGATTCTGTCATGCTAGTTGGGGTTTCTGTCCATTATTTCTGAAAGAAACCAGGTTGATGTGGCTGAATTATGGGAAACAAAAGCAGTTGATGTCCTGCAGCACTCACCTCCGTGGATAACAGAATTAGTGTAGGCTAGGACTAAGAGGTTTGATAGAATCAGAGTGATACATGCTGTGTTTAGGATGGGCGCAGGACATAATGAAACCCATTCATGGGTTTGCAGTTCTTGGAAGGCATTTTCATCCAGTGACTTCTTAATGAAAATAGCATTACTTGCCTTATTGTTCTATTGGGGAAAACTTTCTAAACTACTGAAATTACTTATTAATAAACACGTTATCAGATAACCTCCAGCAAAAGTCAACTAACTTTATTTTCCCACAATCAAATCTAGGTGTGGTGTTAAGGAGAGACTTATCTTTTATCTATGAAAGTGACTCCAGGGTTTTGCTAACCAAAGTTAATAGAAATCATCTATCTGCATTTATTTAGAAAAGGAAAAAAAGCTCCTGAGGAATTTTCCTGGGTCCATTATATTAATAAAAATGTGAGAAACCTTTCAAAGCCAGATTTTCTCATAAGAGAATGGATGTTAAATTGATTCTTGGAACAAAAGGGATGGAATGTGAGAAGTCTCCAGAGAAGCCATTTAAAATGTATTCTATGATTTTTCTGGGCTAGTGAGTTTTGTTTATATTCCCATTCCTAAATACTGTGACTCATAGGAAATCACACAAACCAAATCCGGAGTGGCCCTGATCCAGCTCTCCTTCGGTAACCATCGCTGCATAATAGCTCAGAGTTCTAAATCTGCCAAGGAGACTGCCTCTTTTTAAAGGATTGTAGCGAGAGAGGCATAAGTAGACAATCTTCCCCAACCTCCAGATATATTGCAGAAGAATATTAGACTCCATTTCAGATAACCATTCTCTGTTCATTCAGTGCATATGTGGACAGAGGGAAGAGAATTTGTCCCTGCTAATCGACCCTTGTTGCACTGACACATCAATTGATCACACAGCCCATCAGCCACACATTTGATAGTAACATAAAACATCAAAGCTTTTGTTTCAGAATTTCTGAACCTAAACCTGTTGAATGCGCAGTCTCTGGGAAATCAGCTGCTGAACTGAGGGTGTGGTTCACAGTCCAGCTTGGGTCAAGTGTAAAGGTGTAGTTGGGTTGTAGGGGACACTTAAGTCCAGAAAAAAAAATCACCTCCAATAAACTAAGGGTATTATTGATGCTGCTATTGGGTATTCTAGACCAAGTCTGAGCAAGCCACCTCCAAGCATGTGTGGATGTTCACGTGCATGCTTATATATGCACATATCGGGAAGAGGTGGTGGTAATGCAATTTTGCCTAGGACTCTAGGAATCAGTTTTTGGCTTTGGGTAAGCTATCATCTGACAACATGACCTATTTCACAGGAGTGTGGTGACTGCAAATGAGGCTAACCATAACATATGGCATGATGTGTTCTCTGTCAGATGGTTCTAGAAGCTTTTAACTATAACCCAGGGATATTTCACTTTTAAATAAAATCATGCAAAGTCTTTTTCTATGGAAGAGATGTCACGCCTGATGTTAACAAGGAATTTGATGCTTCAGCCAACGTGTTTGATTTTCCTCTTGTTGACAGTCAGTTTGTTCCAATTATAAGCAAGCTACCCCAAACATCATTTTAACCTGGCAAAAATGCTACATTTTCAGTGTTATTAGTGCCGTGCGGACAGATGCTGTCATGCAAAAATAAGTATATTGTAATGGAAATGTGAACAAGATACATGTTTACCTATGCGACATGCCATAGATCTGGACCAAAGTAAACTCATCAGAATTATGCCTTCGCACCCAGCAGTGATGCCAAACAGCTGGGGAGCCGAACTAATCAGTGATGAAAAAATGGGGCAGGGGGCAGGGGTGGGATGGGAAGGGAAGCTACTATTGTGGCAGCACATAAACTGGAGAGAAAAATACACCTCCACCCTACGTCTTTATTAGGCAAAATATGGAAGCCATAAACATGAGACCCCAGCAGTATAAAAATGGAATTGGGGAGGGAGGGGATGGATAATTGTTTACTTCACTGTGTTTACTGAATTCATCCACATATGCAGGAGATTAAAATGCCTCCTACAAATTGCAGTGATGCTCAAAATGAGCACCAGGCCTTCCTAAGGAGATGTGGGGAGCTGCCAAGGAAGGTTTGAATGAAGCTGAGAAAGAAGGAAGAATTATGGATAGCATCAGGCAGTGTGATGGAATGGAATTATGAAGGCCAGGCTCAGGGAGAAAAACATTTTGATGTGATGGAATGGAATTATGAAGGGCAAGCTCAGGGAGAAAAACATTTTCTTACATGGTCTCTTGGAGTTCCTTGGGCTAGGCCTGACAGGCAGTTACGAAAACAGCCAAGACACTTTGCTGCCTGACAGGAGATTCTGATGGTCCCTCGCATATACCTTGGACCAGAATGAGTGCTGGGTCGTTTCAGTGCTGGCCAAGGGACAGCATCTTCCGCTACTTCTGACACAGAGGGCTACCTCAGAAGGCAAAAAGACAGACTTCTTGACAAACCCAGCTGTGCTGATCCCACACCAGGCTCTTGGGTTGGTGGGATAAGCACAGTCAGTGAAGTGAAGCTGTCGGATTGCATCCATGGCAACAGCTGTGTCAGAAGAAGAGGGAGAACATGCCTTTAGCCCTGTTGCAGCAAAGGATGGCTTAAGCCTGCCTTAAGTAGGGCTAGGGATCAGGAATCAGGATCATCCCAAGGACACAGAAGAAAAGTGACAGCTCGCACAGGAGTTAGATGCAAGTGCTGAGAGAAAAATGTACAAGTCTGCATTCTGGGCACAAAAGGAAGAAATGGACACACTTTGAGATGAGGGGGCATCCCCAGCTTTAACTGATTAACAAATTCCTATTTCTATGGAATGGCAATTCTGTATAAACTCAAATCCTATTAATATTATCCTAAAACAGTTATAATTTAACGGTCCTTTCTGTTACCAATTCCTATCTTCCCGTTTTTTCTTTTTTCCAGCCCTTGCAAGGGTCGATCATTGCACGATTCTACCCACCCAGAACTGGATCTCAGTAAATGTAACAGAACTGACTCTCTCAAAGTAACGCGACCTTTATTGTGGATTAGGGATCATGCACGTTTAGAACACCGTCGGTTATCAGACGGTGGGTTCTTGGAAAATCTGAGTGCGGAAAAGCACAGGTAGAAAGACACCGAAGCAAGCAAGAGTGCTATGCCATTCTCTCCAAAATACAGCATTGGGGGGTACATTTTCTTAACGCTCTTTTCTCTTGGCATTTCCTTGAAAGATGCAAACTCACATAATTTAGCGCGCTTACAGCCACCTGTTCCAGAGGGTTAAAACTGGCTTAACCCAACCCTTCCCGGAGCACTACGGCACCATCTCCGGCCTCCTCCCATCCCGACGACCAACAGGCGCCGGCGCCTCTCCGCTCCGCCCTCCCGAGCCAGCCGCGCGGAACCCGTGGGAGGCGGAGTCGCCATCCGCTTTGCGGCGAGCAGCTCTGCGCGCCTCCCAAACGCGGCTGCGCTGTCCATGGCGGGCCCCCTTTCCCCCCCCGGCCGGAGGAAGGTGCGGCGATTGCGGGCTGGGCCGGGGGGGGGGGGGGGGGGGGG